CTCCGGGGCCCGTCTATGGCGGGCAAGCAGGTGTCCCGGCCGCTTCCCACATCGTTGACTCTTCGCTGTTCAAAAGTCATCCATGGCTCCCCGGTGCCCTCACCATGGAGCCCACACTCCTCTGCTTGGTGTTCCTCATTTGGCACCTGGAAACCTCACCCACCTTTCCCTCAGCCCTCGGTTCCTCCCCCACTGGCAGTTCGGGCTCTGGCTTTAAACCAACTGTGTCTTGAGATGCTCTTCTCTCAAGACCTCTGCTTCTGCCGGCCCATTTGGTCTGTATGCCTTGGAGACACTTACTCATTCTTCAAGCACGGAGATCCCCTCCACATTCAGCAGGCACAGCCCTAGTGGGTCATCCCCATGGCTCCCCTCTGCTCCCTCTGGTCCCTTTGCCCTCCCTCTGCCACAAGCTAACCGTGGGGCGGGGCAGATCTGACCCTGGACCCCCCCACTTGCCTAGCCCGGGAGCACATAGCATCTCTGGGACCCCGGGATCAATCAGCACGCATTGGTTTATGGCGTTCTTGTTGGACGAATGCATGAGCCCAATGAGTCTATCAGCAAATGTGGGACGTATTTCAAACACTCCGACTCAGCAACCAAAACTTGCTTGTCTTCATTTCTTCTCATATTCTAGCCACGGAAACACTCCTACCCTTCCCTAACTGTGCAGCCCCTTTCGTGTCCAGAACTCAGCACATCCTTCTCTCCTCCCCTCCTTTTTCCTTGACTCCCACCCTGCTTGGCAAAACTTCCTGCTCATCCTTCAAACCCGATTCCCAGGTGTCCTCCTCTGTGAAACTTGCCAACACGCGGGATGAGTCCTTTAGTGGTTCCTCCTTCCTGCTTCTATTCCCTGATCATGTGGCCCTGGGTTTTGCCCCAGATTCAGCCAACCCTGTGAGCAGTGCACTGAGAAAGCGAAATATCCTTCAGAGGTGCCTGGGTGGCTCAGTCGGTTGAGTGTCTAACTCTTGATTTGGGCTCAGATCGTGATCTCACGCTTTGTGAGATCGAGTCCCGCATCGGGCTCTGCGGAATATGCTTGGGAGTTTCTCTCTCCCTTTCTCTCTCTTTGTCCCTCCTCCACTTGTGCGTGTGCTCTCTCTCTCTCTCTCTCTCTCTCTCTCAAAATAAATAAATAAACTTAAAAAAAAACTCTTGCTACTGTTGGTGGGAATGCAAACCGGCGCGGCCGCTCTGGAAAACAGCGCAGAGACCCCTCAAAAAATTAAAAATAGAACTACCCTACGACCCAGCAATTGCACTACTAGGAATTTGCCCAAGGGATACAGGAGTGCTGATGCACAGGGGCACTTGTACCCCAATGTTTATAGCAGCACTTTCAACAGTAGCCAAATGATGGAAAGAGCCTAAATGTCCATCAACCGACGAATGCATAAAGAAAATGTGGTTTACATATACAATGGAATACTACTTGGCAATGAAAAAGAATGAAATCTGGCCATTTGCAACAACACGGATGGAACTAAAGGGTATTATGCTAAGAGAAATAAGTCAGTCAGAGAAAGACAAATACCATATGATTTCACTCATACGTGGAATTTGAGAAACTTAACAGATGATCATGAGGGAAGGGAAGGAAAAATAAGATAAAAACACAGAGGGAAGCAACCACAAGAGACTCTTAAAAATAGAGAACAGACTGGGGGTTGATGGGGGGGGCGGGGGAGAGGGGAAGTGGGGGATGGGCATGAAGCAGGGCACTTGTTGGGATGAGTACTGGGTGTTGTATGTAAGTGATGGATCATTGGGTTCTATTTCCTGAAGCCAACACTATACTGTATGTTGGCTAACTTCAGAATTAAAAAAATAACAAAAAAAAATATTGCTACATATTTTGTCTTCATTTATATACCTCGAGCAAACACATGCTTTTAAAGAGCTTTGCGGTATTTCACCAGAACGTGCTGAGCCCTCACAGGTTGGTGAAAGTGTTATGGCTTCCTTTTTATTTATTCATTCATTTATTGCAGTTACAAATGACTCAGACAGGACTTTGTACGTAAATTTTGTTCACCATTGGGATTATCTCTGTGATGCAAGTTCCTGGAGGTTCAATGACCGAGTGGGGGCGGTGAAGGTGCTAGATGTATATCTACATCTCAACACAACTTGACACATTGCACACAGAACGCTGCGAGATAGGAGCGTGCCCGCATTTGCTGCAAAACAAACTCGGTTTTAATTACTGATTTGAGAAGCCAAAAAAGAAAAGATCTTATTATTTTCTAGTTGGCTGCTTATTATTTATGTATATGTAACAATTATTGTTATATCATATAAGATATACTATATTATATACAGCATATAATACACAATATGTAATAAATACATTATTATATCTTATGAATATTATATATGTGTGTATATCATATACCATATAATAAATATATTATTGTATCATATAAAATATTATACATTGTGTATGTGTATTATATACAATATGTATATACAATTCTATCAGAAGCTGGCAAACCATGGCCCTGTACCAATTCTATCCAATGTCTTCTTTTGCATGGCTTGTGAGCTAAGAATGACATTTGTGCTTTTAAATGGTTAAAAAAAAATAAAACAAGAATAGTATCTTGTGACACGTGAAAGTTGCATGAAATGCACATTTCAGTGTCCACAGATAGAGTTTTATTGCCACACGGCCCCCCTCATTTGCTTATATACCATCTGTGGCTGCTTTCCAGGTACAATGGCAGAGCGGAGTCCTTTCCACAGGGATCGTATGGCCCCCAAAGCCAAACATATTTAACATCTGGCCTCTACAGCAGACCTTTGCCAACCCCTGACCTATATGACTGATTAGCTCTGCTGATAGGTTCGGACTACTCAGAAGTGTTTTAGAGGAGAGAATCTTGGGGAGACCCTTTATAACCTAATCTGCATTCAATTCCTTAAGTTCTGGTGGTTTTGCCAGAGCCTTTTCTTTTATTTTTAATGTTTTTAATGTTTATTTATTTTTGAGAGACAGAGAGAGAGAGAGAGAGAGAGAGAGAGAGAGAGAGAGACAGAGTGCAAGCGGGGGAGGGGCAGCGAGAGAGGGAGGCACCGAATCGGAAGCAGGCTCCAGGCTCCGAGCTGTCAGCCCAGAGCCCGACGCGGGGCTCGAACTCAAGGACTGTGAGATCATGACCTGAGCCAAAGCCGGACGCTTTAACCGACTGAACCCCCCACGTGCCCCTGCCAGAGCCTTTGTGATAGAAGAGAAAATATCCAAGTGTGTTCACACCAGGGAAAGGTAACTACTATTTTGTGAAACTTTTGTTTCCGTTTGATAAGTACCTGGAAATGCAGGTACCGGGTGACGACGCTGTGGACATCTGGTATGTGTCATGGCCATGTCTCCTGCACCCTGGAAGTGTCCCCCACTCACTCAATTGGCTGCATTTAGAGGCAGGCTGAAGGGAGGCTCCCTGAACGCTCCTCCCCGAATCCACGCACAGAGGAGCGTTTCGCGTAGGCATGTGCGGCTAGACTGGGGTCTCAGCCCAGCCCTACGGCAGCCCTTTCTCGGTGCCTTCTCTGGGGCCCCCACCTCAGGGTGGACTGCCAGGGACTCCAGGGAGAAGGGTCCCAGACCCCCAAACCTCTTCTCCACCTCAGAGACCGGCACGTTCAGCCCCCTCCCGTTTTTCAGGCAAGAGCACTGAGGACCAGAGTCAGTATCTCTGTCCAGGAGGAGCAAGAAACAGGGAGACCACAGAGAAGCCCTGAATCTCAAACTTCCGTGCCCCTCCCCCCGGCTCTGGAAAGCGGTGGGGTCAAAGTAACAGGGCAAGAGTGAGGGAGGCATCTGGGACTGAGCTCCCAATCCCCAAGCCCCCAAAACATCACCTGGACCCACCAAGTTCAAATCCTAGCTCTAAGTGCCACGGTGACCCCGGGCATATCTTTCGCCTCCCCTTTGAGCGCCCTCAGTATGCGCAGGGCACAGAGCAAAGCACATCGCCTGCACCATCCACCGACCGTCCCAGAAGCTCCAGGGCCAAGGGCGGCCTGCCTTATTCACCGCAGTCTCCCCAGCACCCCGCAGGAGGAGAGGCCACATGAATCTTCGGCCGCTTGCGTCTTCTAAGCTTTCCTGAAATGCCACTGCCATCCAGGCATTTTGAGCCCTTCCGATATGGCCTCATACCAAGGATGGGGGGAAAGAGGACTACTGTGCCCAGAACTGAGGGGGTCCCCGGGACATGAGACTTCCGATGCTGAAACCAGGATAGTCCCCAGCAAACTGGAATGAGTTGGTCAACCTAAGCTGGGGGAACAGCTGAGAACAAAATAGACACAGCCGTCTCCTCCAGGAAGCCCTTCCTGATCCATCCCTCTGCCACTGGCTCATGGATCACCTCTGCCCTCCCCGCTCCCCAAGGCTGCCCCCGCACCTCCCATTAGAGCACCATCACCCTGTCTTGCGAATGCCTGGAGTCCCATGCGTGTCCTCCGCTCCAGGGGAACAGGGAGCCTGGCTATTTTCCTGGTCACTGCTGCATTGCCAAAACCTACCACAGATGCCCCATGAGTGAACAAAGGCCAGCACTCCTTGCCTAACAGATGGACGAAAGCTCAGAGAGGTGAACGCTCCAGCAGGATTCTCCAGCGGCCGTGTGGAGAAGCCGGGGTTTGAACCCCCCGTCCGGCGAGACCGCTGCCCCCAGCCCTCTCACCGTGTTGTAGAACTCGGCCACCAGCTCCGAGTGCTGAAAGTTACTCTCGCACCAGTCCACCTCGGAGCTCTGGTAGGCGAAGATGCTGGGCATCCTGACGTGGCGCCCGCTGCCCACTGGCTGAGTCTGGCAGAGAGCAGCATGAGAGCCTAGGAGGGCCGGGCCGGGTGAGACGGGCAGAGGGCAGCTGTTGCTCCACAGCAGGGAGGAAAAACCTGCCGAACCGCTCCCCGGTTGCACCAGGACGGCTTACCTGTGCGGTGGCGGTGGCAGCTGCCCTGGGCAGAAGCCGAGGGGCTGGCACCATCCAGGCAGGGCACGGGATGGCCAGATCATGGGCCTCCCGTCCCTACCCATGTGGAGTGGGAGTTAGGGGTCTGGTACGAGAACGGTGATTTAAAATATTAATGAGCCCCTGGAGATGAGTACCCTGGCTACCCCCGCTTTGGAGGCGGGCAGACAGAGGCAGAGAGAGAAGCCACCTGCCGAAGGCACGCAAGGTGAAAACGCCACGACGTGGAAACAGGCAGCTGAGTCCAGACTCTAGGCTCTTACCCATTAGGCTGAACTACGTCCACGCTGTCAAAGCTCTGTGCTGCTTGTCGCCACACCGGGGGCAAGGGCAGCACACCCAGCCCGAGGGGCTTGGCTCAGCTCCCTTGTCGTCCTTGGCTGTGTAACCTTGCCCTATCATTTCTCCTCTCGGGGCCTCGGTCTTCCTGTTGGTGCTATGGGAAGGCGGGGCTGGATTGAAGCCATTTCTCTCGGGTGGTCAAAACTACGCCCAGAGTGTCCCAGCTTCTACCAGGGGCCACCTGCAAAACCCCCATGAAGGGAGGGATCTGCAGAGTCCCAAGTCTGGGGGTCCCTGGGCCTGGTTTCCAAGGGCTGTGGCAAGCTCTGGTTTTGGAGTCAGCAAGGCCTGAGTTTGAATTCTGACTTCCTCCCCTTCCTAAGCTGTGTGACCTCCTGGGCAAGTGAATCCACCTCTCTGAGCCTCAGTTTGCTCATCTGTAACACGAGGAGGGTGGTGGTAGGCCCAGGCACACAGAGATAAAGCCAGTCAAGAGCTTAGCTCAGTGCCTGGCCCAATGTGGGCCCAAGAGAAATGGCAAAATGGGTTTTCTTATTGTAGCCGATCTCGAACTTTAAGGCAACCTGTGGGAATAGTAATAACAGTGGCACATTTTACTGACTACTTACTGGTGCCAGGCTCTTTCCTAAGTGCTTAGCATTCAGTATTATTTCATTGAATGTTCTTGGCATCTTACCGTCTCCAGGTCACTGGCAAAGAAACGGAAGCCCAGAGAAGTTAAGTGATTTACTCAAGGTCACACAGCTCAAAAGTAGTGAGAGACTAGATCCACACTTCCCTCGTGTGGAAGATGGGAATAATAGGGGCGCCCGGGTGGCTCAGTCGGTTAAGCGTCCGACTTCAGCTCAGGTCACGATCACGTGGTCCGTGAGTTCGAGCCCCGCGTCGGGCTCTGGGCTGATGGCTCGGAGCCTGGAGCCAGCTTCCGATTCTGTGTCTCCCTCTCTCTCTGCCCCTCCCCCGTTCATGCTCTGTCTCTCTCTGTCTCAAAAATAAATAAAAACGTTAAGATGGGAATAATAGTGCCTCTCAGAGCTGCTGTGCAAAGTTTGCCTTAACTGCTGGTGCATCCACTTCCCATTCATGGCAGGGAAATAAATTAAGCTTTATAATTCTGGGGGTGGTTACATGAATCTATACATGTGAAGAAATTGCACACACACACACACACACACAGGAACGAATATAGCAGGTGTTGAGATCTCAATCAGTTCTGTAGATTAATCGATGTAAACGTCCTGATTGTGAAACTGTACACTGGAGAAAACTGAATATAGGGTACAGGAGACCTCTCTGTGAAATTTTTGCAACTTCTTGCGAGTGTACAATTAATCCAAAATAAAAGAGTTGTGTTTCTTTTTCATTAACTGATTTAGGTTTTCAATTGGAGGAAGAACGGATCAGCAGACTGTGGTATATCAACACAATGGAATATAAAGGAGCCTGCCTTATAGAAGGAAATCCTGGCACCTGTTACAACGTGGATGAACTTTGAGGACATTGTGTTCAATGAAATAAACCAGACACAAAACAACAAACACTGTCTGGTGTCCCTAGAGGCGTCCCGTCCACAGAGACAGAGAGTGGATGGTGGGAGCCAGGGGTGAGGCAGGGGGTGGGGAGTCCGTGTTTCATGGGGACAGAGTCTCAGTCTGGGGAGGTGAAAGTTCTGGAGACGGATGGTGGGCAGGGCCGTACCATTATATGGAAGTCCTTTATGCCACAGCTTAGCCATGCAAACCGTTTCAAAATGGTTCAGATGGTCAACTTTAGGTTGTGCATATTTCACCACAGTTTTATTTATTTATTTTTTAATTTTTTTTAACGTTTTATTTATTTTTGAGACAGAGAGAGACACAGCATGAACGGGGGAGGGGCAGAGAGAGAGGGAGACACAGAATCGGAAACAGGCTCCAGGCTCTGAGCCATCAGCCCAGAGCCTGACGCGGGGCTCGAACTCACGGACCGCGAGATCGTGACCTGAGCTGAAGTCGGACGCTTAACCGACTGAGCCACCCAGGCGCCCCACACCACAGTTTTGAAAAGCCAAAGGTTTACGTTTCTAAAGGGGGTTTTGTCTGATAAAACATCAATAAATAAGAGTTCAGGCAGAAGGTAGATAACATGAAAATCTTGAGGGTGGTCTGTGAAAGTCAGGAATTTGGGGACTGCTGAGGCGCGTGCTCAGGGCCCAGCCCAGAGCCTAATGTGGCTGCTGTCACTGGTATACTCCTTGTTGTTATTATTATCCACAACTTGTCAGAGTTTCCATTTTCCACCCCCTGCCAGGTGCCCAGAGAGCTGCCTTCCAGATCCTCTGGGAA